GGGATTTTTTATTTTCTACACACCTTTTCTGGCAATTTCAATAATTTCCCTTGTTCTCGTCGATCTGGATAGTTTGTCCCCATGTTCTTATAAGCTTAACAAATTGTTCTTCCTTCCCATTGTGGCATTTCTTCCCCGCACGTGGCGACCAACCTTTCTCGATGCACATCACAGTGCGACAGTGCCCGCCGTCATGCATTGTAAACAACGACGGCAAATTAGGAGTCGCAGGGAGCAACGCAAAATAGGGTGGTCAGGGTCGAGGAGGAGAAGAGGTGGTGCAGGGAGGAGAAAGACAAAACGTGAAGGAGAGGTAGGAGGGCGGATCCTATATGGCGCGTAGGACGCTCCCTAGCGCCGCAACGTGCACGCCCTAGCTCCCCTTTTGGCCGGCCTATGTGGGGCGCGAGATCCCCAGTTTTTTTTCATTTTTTCTTTTATGTTTCCTTTTGTGTTTCAATTTTTTCCTTTATTCAATTTTTAATTTCTTCTTCACCTCCGTTTATTTTTATTTTTTTATCTTTCCCCCCTTTTTTAATCTTGAACATTTTTTATTCAATATATTAAAAAAATGTTCATGTAATTAGAAATTTGTCCACCACAATTTTAATAAATGTTCATCAAATACAGAAAATGTTCATCCAGTTTTCAAAAAGCTCATCCGGTTTAAAAAAGAGTGTTCTTGAATTGAGAATTTGTTCATGAAGTTTAAAAAAAGAAAAATGTTCATCTTATTCGAAAAATGTTCACTGTAATTTCTAAAAATGTTCATACATTTTTCAAAATTTTCATCTAATTTTCCAAAAAAAATCTTCAATTTAGAACTTGTTCATCAAGTTCTAAAAATGTTCATCAAATTCAAAAAAAAACATATGATAATATAATGTTCACCAATATCCAAATTCACGAAAATTTTATTAATTTCATGAACATTATTTGAATTCAGGGATTTTTTTGGCTCCATGATCTTTTTTGAATTTCGCATTTTTTTGAATTTTGGAAAGCCAAATTATTTAAAAATAAAAAGCAAAAACGAAAAAAAAACAAGAAAATGGGGGCTCCCTGCTGCCGCTCATGGGCCCCCAAAAATGGGCTTGGGGGTGGGGGGGGGGGGCAGCAGGGGTTGCGTGTGTGCTGCGCCATATAGGACCTCCCACAAACTCCCTCCGTTCCACAATACATGCCTTCCATTTGTGAAAATATGGATGTATCTAGACATGTTTTAGTATATAGGTACATCCATTTTCGAACAAATGGAAGTCAAGTATTTTGGAACGGAGGGAGTAGGAGGTAACCACGGAGTTAGTTGCCTAACCTGACTGGTTGCAAGTCCGATGGGGTAGCCCGACTCATGCAGGATCGAAGGACATGGAATGACAGTGACGAGTGAGAGAAGTTTCAAGCGGGCCGTGTTAAATTCATGAATGCTAATTTTTCTTCTTGCATTGCGAGTTGAATTTACAATTGGAATTTTTGACATATATACACATTTTATTTCTATTTAATCAAATTATTTTTAGAATCCTTGAGGACTTTTAGTGTTGCCTTTTTGCATTCGTGCACCAATTGTCATAGGAACACCGGGAGCACAAGATATGTTATCAGATGAAACCGCCCGACTCCGCCAAATCCGAGTCCTCCTAGCCACCATTCTTATTGTCTATATATGTCGCCTCCTCACCAACTATGTTCGTCAGCAAAGCGAAAATGGATAGTCGGCGCCAATAGCGAGCAGAACATTAGTTGTGGAAATGTTTACGCAAGGGAGTGGTATGTGTTGGGATCCGAACCACGCGGGTATTTCCCACCTGTCTAGAAAAAAGATGTGGTCTCCTACCTAGATACTAGAGGGTCAGATATGTCCACTAGAAAGGGAGTGAATATGTGCCTGCAAAGTTTTACCAGTTTGTTGATTTTATAGAAACTGGATATATACCCTCAAAAAAAGAAATTGGATATATATAAGCTCTCTAAAATAAATCTAGTAAAAAAGAGATTAACAAGTAAATACTATCCAGGGCTACACTAAACACAAATAAAAGAGAGGATCTAAATAACCAATAGAGGAGCACACAAACACAATGCCATTTTTTTGCCTAAAGTTCAAATATAGGGGATTCTAATCTTCGACTCTTCGTTGGACATGCAGTAGACACCTAGCCTTCTTCTCCTTGAGCTTTGGCCACAAAGTTCAACCTCGACCAACAAGGGTAAATCTTGAGGTGATCTGACCTTACTTTATCGACGCAAATCCACATGCTTGGATGCTCTCAGTGGACTCTGACCGTTTAGGAGTCCACTCAACTCCAAAGTAACGAGCTTAACGAAGAACTCTAACCTTTTAGGAGTAAAATCACCAAAATATGAGTTACGTGACACAAAATTTATATCACTGGAAACTTCTTCTGAATGCATATCTAATGATGTATTTTGTGTGTGGCATATAACTGATAATTATGGTTAAAAAGTTTTTTCTTAAAGTATGCGCCAGCCTTACAAAACTGCGTACTGGTGTGGTGACTGATGATACTGCAAGTGTTTGATTAAATGCTTTGTTGCTGGCCTGTGATTGTTCATCTACCTGAAGAATGGTGTTGGAAGAACATCATGGCACGTCTGCAAGTGTCAGCTCAATCCTCTGCCGGTTGTTCATCTGCCTGAAGAATGGTGTTGTGAGAACATCATGGCTATCATCAGTTCCAGAGTTTACAATTCGAATTGATAATGGATGTGGAAAACCTTCACCGACAGAGGACATTTTGTTTCAGATAAAACAAAGGGAGAGGGGTCTGGGTTGTAGTTTGTAGAACTCCACCTGATAGCATCTATCTAAAAATGAAGTTCCAGTAATTACTGCATCCTCTATATATGAACATCTATAAATAATGATTCTCTCAATATGGATTGACGCATTGCTATCAGTGTTGGCATCTTAGAAATTCATTTTTGCATGAGATGAGTATGCCACCATACATTCAGCACAAACAGAGTTTGGGTTACTAAAGCCGCAAACAAACTCAGTTCAAAGTTCAAACAAAGACACTACTGAAGCTGGGCAGTACAAGTAAGTGAGCCAATCAGGCGGTGGATACATAACAAGCTAGTCTAATATCTTGCCAGGCATAAAAGCACTGCACGAGCAGTAGAAACGATATGAAATCTTCAACAGGAAAAGCAAGGTGGATGCGATGGGCATCCAGTGTATGCTTCTTGTTCTTCAGCAGCTCAAAGAGGCATCATATTCTCTCGGCTGCAAATTGTTGTCGAATGCAAACTACTTTTTCCCTTTCAAAAGCTCTTGCATTTGTTCTCCTTAGCATGACACCAGTCGCGCTTGCGAGTCCTTGCTATTGGCGTATTTCTCTGGAGAGGTCCTGGTTACAGAGGGAAAGGGTGCTTACTGTTTAGATGCGACAACTCGAAAGAAAGTAGTATTAAACTGAAACAAACTGATGAATAGAGGCTATGTGTCAGCAAGACTCTTTTCTGTATTCAGTTGAAATACTAAACGGGAGTGGGGATTTTAACTCTCCATAATACAAAGATTTTCATGAATACGTGTATGTAATAGAAATATCTGCTAGTGGAGAATCACTAAAAGTCATTATGCTGATAAGATGAGCATCCAATTTGATTGAAATGCTCAACGTCAACCTTCATTTGCAGAACTAAACTCACATGTTTCTGAAGTTATTATCTGACGATGAAACATGTAATTAATCGCAGTTCAAGACCGGAAAAATTACTGGGCATAAACATCAGCATGGAATCTGAATTCATATATGAGCATGGTTTTCACTTTCAATGAGATTTCACTGAAATTCACTGAATTTCATTAATTTCAGTAGATACTGAAATATTACATTTCGGTCAAAATATTTCAGCAAATTCAGTAGTACACAGGAAATCAAATATTTTTCAAAATATTTTTTTGAAAATTTCAAATATTTAATTAAATTCAAATTAATATTTCGGCCTTTTGGCTGAAATGCAAACTGAAATAACTGAATTTCACTGGATTTCAGTGATTTTAGTTGGTGCTGAAATTTTGTTGAAACTGAAATTGAAAACCATGTATATGAGACGACAACTAGTATTTGGTATTCACCTATCAGTTAGCACGTTATGCAAGACAGCAGAAACTAAATGTAGATTTAATATGTTTGATTTATTAGTACAACCAAAACGTTATAAGCTACTGCCTATCGTTATTTAATCAGAGTGATAGACTTGTAAATGCATGAGAGGCAAGATAGGAGCCATCATTACATAAACGGGCACTGGGAATGTGACACCAAGTATCACGTCATATTGAGACAGGAGAACCAAGCGCTGAAGCGCAAATTTTAGTGAAATTGGGGAATCACGAGGGCGTTGCGTTCCAACCCCACTTCCCTCTTCCAAAGGAAAATCAGAGGCTCTAGTGCCTTTGGTCTTGTTTTAATTTAAGTGAAACTAGCATCGTCTTGCCATCTATTCGGACATAGCAGTGGACTGCATTCCATAACAGTTGTCATGTACTCATGTTTCCCATTAGGCTAGACATATGTTTGGGAATCGAATTTAGTGTATGTCTCAGCTTTTCATGCCTCAGTCGATGTAATAGGCTGGTTTGGCTAGTGTGTTTCCCACGTGGGAAGACAGCATCAGTTACAGTTGCAAGTTCAAGCATAATTACAGATTGGGTCATTACGAATATGATGATGGCGAAACAAAAAAAAATTGTGGCATAATTTAGCAGACATAGTTATTCCACCTAAAATGGCACCAGACATGATAACTTAGTGAAGATAAAAATGAGGAAAATACATGTCAAATCCAGCTTAACTGAAGGGAAAGTAGGCAATATGAGCATTATAACGGGTTTAAAGTAATTTGGCCACATCAGAGTTCAGAACCCTTTGTCAAAGTAGAATGGTGGTGCACGCTACCAAAAGTCATATTGCAATGTCCTATGCAAACAGAACAAGCAGTTAAAGATCCAGGGCAAGCTTACCAGTTCAAAGTGTCGGCGGGGACAAGGACGGTGGGAGATCGGCATACAAGTCACCAATAATGACATAATCACCAGTCTGACAGAACCACTCAGCCTGCAAAGTCTGGAGATCCAGTGAAAAATAGTCTACTATTGCCCTGTTGTTTTCTGGGCGCCCAGTAAGGAGTAAGTATCCACCAGCTACACCCCTGATGCAAATGCAATAGCGATAATTTTCCGGCAAAGGGATCGCGGGCTTGGATTGCCACTGGTTTGCGCCATTCCCATCCTTCGACGAATGTACGGCATACAAGAGACGATGTGCACCACGTTTACTTCGATCGATAGTAAGCATCCCAAGCCTTCCTTCTCCTGCCTCCACAGTGGCCACCTGCCGCATATCAGGGCCAGGCGGAGGCGGGAGGTCGACGACGGAGAACTCCATCCTGCGCGCGTCGAGCACGAGCAACATCTCGGCGTCATCTTCATAACAAACCTGCCAACAGAAGCATCCATGGGCGTAGTAGCGGCGCGATGCCCCGCATCCAAAAGCGTCAAAGGTAACAGGATCAGCGAGCCATCTTCCGGCGCAGGACGAGAAGACGAAGAGGACGAGCTTGGCCGTGCACCGCACCAAGCACATTACTCTGAAGTCTCTGAATGACGGGTGCTCGTCGTCGACGCCGGGAGGAGCAAGGAAGGGCTCGCATTCCAAGATGTCCGGCTGGTGGACCTGATCGGCGAGATGGTCGGGGAGGGCAGGCAGCAGGAGGTAGCGGCGGTGCAGGGGGTCGCAGACGGCGAATTCCTTGACGAGGTGGCGGGGGTCGTAGTCGTACATGCTGTTGAACGGATCGCTGCCCTCCTCGAGGCGGGGGCTGAAAAGGGCGCGGCCGTCGCAGACGTCGCGGCGGTACCAGCGGCCGGGGGACGGGGGGAGGAAGGGCCGAAGGGGCAGGAGAAGTCTGCGTCGGCATAGGTGGCCGCCGCGGCGGCTGAAGGGTGGGGCGGCTGGGCGGGGTAGAGTCTGCCGGAAAGGATGCCCAGGAGGGGCGGCGGGTGGATGGCGCGGAATCGGCGGAGGAATGGGTGGCCGGCGATGACGCGGCGGAAGGAGACGCAGGCCGTGGAGGCTCGGGCGATGTCGGCGGCGGTGGGGAGGCGGAGGAACATCTCCTCCAGGAGTTCATCTGGGACTGGGAGCGCCATTAGGGCCAGTGGAGGATGGGATGAGATTTTCTTTTTTTCTTTTCTAAACTAGGATGAGAATGAGATTTGGGGGAGCGCTACAGCATACAGCAGCTATACATGGCCAAACCTCATGCCGGGCCTAGCCAAGCCTGACGCAAAAAACACAGGTCCGGACCCGGCCCGGGCCTAGCCAAGCCCGACGCAAAAAACTTAGGCCCGGGCCCGGCCCGGGCCGGCCATTGGGCCTGTTTTCTGGGCCTGAGCCGGGCCCGAACACGTAAAAGCCCGTTGGGCTCCGGCCCGACCTTCAGAAAAATGCAAAAACGATGGGTCCGAGCCCGGCCCGGCCTTCGGGCTCAAAATCTAGGCCCGAGCCCGCCCCGGGGGCAACGTTGGGCCGAGCCGGGTCGGGCTTTTTCGGCCCGGGCTTCCCATGGCCAGGACTAACAGCAGCAATCGAACCAATCCCAAGTTTTTTTTTGAGGGCTTCGAACCAATCCCAAGTGTGTCCGAAGCCTGAGCTATCCTCTTTTCTCAGGCCCAAGCCCAGCCCGACTCCCAAAAGCCCGGTCTGAATGGCACTAGCCTGATTCTCAAAGAGAAAAAAAAAGACTCTTTGGTCCGAAGTCCGACATGAAATTCTAAAATGAGAAGTCGGAGCCCTGCCCGAGCCTCCATAGTAGAATCCTAAAACCTGAAATACCGGTACGGAGGAAAATTTGGAGTCTAAAACTGCCGAGAACAATTAAGATCTTTCTATGGAGATGTCTACATAATGATATTCCCTGCTTTTATGTTCTTGCAAACCATCACATTGGCAGTATTTTTCAGTGCCCAATTTGCAAAGCAGGAGCAAAAGATATCAAGCATGCTTTATTTATATGCGTGAGAGCAAAGGCAGTATGGGTTGCGCTTCGGATTGAGAGGGTCGTACACAATTATGACGACTCGATGGAGCTTCCAGAATTGATAGCTACATCGAGCCGGTTCATATGGTAGCAGCGTAGACAACAGGTCAGAAGGGAGCAAGTGCAAACGCAATTGCGATATACGCTAGCCATCCATGCATTGGATCTCAACTTCACGCGAGAAGCAGCGAAACAAACTAATGCACCTAGATGGAACACATGGCCCATTGTTTTGGCAATGCAATAAATTCTAAACGTCGATGCATCTTTTATTGAGGATCTGTATTCGGGGTCATGTGGGGCGATAGTTAGAGACCACAGAGGTAATTGCATTGCTGCTTCTACTTCTCGCCTTGCGCATGTGGCAAATGTCGTTCTGCCGAAGCGGCGGCATTACTTGAAGGTTTAAAGTTACTTCAAAGTATGGGATGATGTCTTGGTGAGGATAGATAATTTTGTTGTAGTCGATGCTATACATTTGAATGAGGGACATTGTAAAGTGGTGGCTCCTGATTGCAGAGAGTTATTACGAGAGTTCGCAAAGGGTACTATTGAGCACTATAATAGAGAATCAAATGTTGTTGCTCGTGAGCTAGCTAAGTGGGGTGTGCAAACACCCCTTCTTTATGGGTGGATGCACCTCCGGATACTATTGCTAAATTTTTAGCAGATGATGTAAGGAGTATTTGAGGTTAATAAAGCTAACCATGCCTTTCAGTCAAAAATAATAACTTTTTTAGCATGTACCTTTCGGGCTAAAAAAAGAGCCCTAAGCCCGATCAGAATGACAACCCCCACTCTGCCCGACCCAGGTTACACACTAGGCATGTGCTATAAATTTAACTCACGGCGGTAGTGACGGAGCGACGGATGGTAGTCAAAACGGTTGCATGCAACGGGGAGGGGGGGTGGGTGAAGGGGCGTGAGAGGATCTCCGCTATACTCTCGGGAAGAGTGACAAGGTGGGCTTGTGCTCCTCATCCCCGGCCATCCGAGCAAGGCTCCTTTGGTGTTCAACCCGTTCATCACTCTCTACTCAGACAAGTGTGCCACCATCTATCCATAAGCGTCCGAGCGCATTAGGGCAATGACTCGTTGAAATGACATTTAATCTAGGTAGGTTTTGGTATAAATGAAGTGAGAGGAGGCTGTTATTGTTTACGACACTACTAGGAAAAGGTCTGCTAGTGGCGCACCTGTTTTGGCTATTAATGGCGCACTACAGGTGCGCCACTAGCATCACGCCATTAGAATTTTTTACTAATGGCATGCGTCATTACTATCTGACTTAGTAATGGCGCACCACATAGAAGTCGCCATTACTATGGCTTAATCTCGGGTCAAATCACACTCCGTGGTCAAACTTCCGAAAGGTTAACCATCCTCACACTACTCCAGCCCAAGCACGCTTAACTTCAGAGTTCGATCCAACCCCAGCACCAGCTCATTTAATAGGCACTTGTTGATATATCTAGCATATCAATCCTATTAAACCTTGTTGATGTTTAGGACTTTGTTCATGTTCATGAGTGTGATAAAATTTTGAAAAAATATTTCAAACTTCCGTTCATATTACCTATCATATTTTGAAAAAAAAATCCCAAAAAAATTCGAAACTAGTTTTTTTTCTGTTACTAGTGGCACACCTAGCAAACGGTGCGCCGCTAGTAAGTTTGAATTTTTTTGATTCTTTTGCCTCCAGATCTTAAAAGCCCCGTAACTTTTTTTCTGTTAGGTTTCTGAGGATTTTGAAAATGTTTAACGGGGTGGCCCCTGTTAAATTCGGATGTAACTTTTCGAGACGATGATTTTTCATATAAAAAACTTTTTAATCCGAGTTCGTATGCAAAAGTTATGCCCATTTTACAAATTCCAGAGAGATTTTGCAAATAAAGTCGAAATTCATATTTGTAAATTTTCTCAACAACTAGACCACATATCACATGGGAAACTTATTTTCTTTTAATTTTTAACATTTCCATCATTTTCTTTTATTTTTTTAAAACTGAAAAGGCGGTCCACGGGGCGAGGGGGGGGGGTGCATTCGAGGGAATTTTCGGTCAAAGTTAGTAATGGCGCACCGTGAGTGTGGTGCGCCATTACTAGTTAAAACTAGTAATGGCGCACCACACCCACGGTGCGTCATTACTAACTTTGAAAAATAATATAATATAATATATGTTAGTAGTGACACACTGAGTGTGTGATGTGCCATTACATGGTGCACTATCCCCTGGTGCGCCATTACTAGTTTTGGAAAAAAAAATTGTTAGTAGTGGCGCACCGTGTATGTGGTGCGCCATTGGTATTTGGATTCTAATGGCGTACCTATATATGGTGCGCCACTACTATATAGCAGTGGCGCACCACACATGTGGTGCGCCATTAGTGTCCATTTCATCTATAGCCCTTTTCCTAGTAGTGCGAAATTTATGAACACGCATTACTCGATGGATGAAAAGAAAAAGGTGGACGGCTACATGTAGTAGTCCTATATTAGTGGTAGTAATTAGGATTCGACTATGCATCGTAGTCATCTCATAATCATCATTTGTTTATTGTAATAATAAGAATATTTGAAGTCCACAAAATTTTTAAAGGGCTAAAACTCTAACACCTTTTCATACTTCCAGTAAAAAAAACACTTTTTCATACTCAAATGCCCTTCCCAACCCTAAGTTGTCAGCATGGACTTCATATAACTGTATACGAATTCACACCTAAATATCACATGTGGAATGGTTTAAATCCTAAAACCCTAAATAAAATCGCATATTTAATAGAATGGTCGACCTTAAATCTATTTAAACTGAGGGATTTCATCAAGTGACTTGTCTTGAAAACGTGTATATATATAGCCTTCGACTACTACTAGGAAGCTGCGGAAATTATTCCATCAAGTTTGGACTTACCCATATAACACACCTATAGTTTAAACCCTAAACCTTAATCAAAGTGGGTACATATTTTTAAAATAAACAATGCAACCAAAACCCCTGGAATAATTTATGTGGCTTTGGTTTGGACAAGTAAGGCTACATAAATAATCTCAAGAAGCCTATAGGTATTTTGAAATCACAAACTAAGGAAAACAAATAAAAACATGGAACAAATATTAAAAAACTAAACTAACTCTTTGAGTCCAGCATAGCTAGCCCGTGGAAGCACAACCGACAACAGTGCAACGCAACAGGATGGACAACCTAGCCCACACGCATGGCCAGCCCAGCCCACATGCGCGTCATCCCCTACCTCTGTCTATGTGTGTCATTCATCCAACCATCATGGTCGTTGATGAGTGGATTTTATACATACTTTTCAGAGTATATTTTAGTGCCAAAATCCCTTATGTCATATCCATCTAGGACTTATTCATGTCCCCTATACATAGTTTTTCTCTTTTACTCATTTACCAAGTTTGTTGCACAACTTTTACTGTTATTTACTTTTTATTAGTTTTCCTTCGTTTTGTGGTCTTTGTAGGTGTGTTGGCATGTTCGTGGACTTGGCACATCAAAAGCACCAAGTTGGGGACAAACGGAAG